CCCCGTGCTATTTTTTTGGGGTGGCATGTCGATGTTTGTCCTTTCCATGTCTGCAAAAACATCAAAATGAGTTAGAAACATTTTAAGCAAAAGCACAGAAAAGAAGTTGCAGATATATGTGCCGAACTAATCGGCGAGTCGCCGAATCACTGTGGGTAGCCAGATCGGGCTCACCGAAAGGATTGGCTCAAAAAGTTCTAAGAAAATTGGACTGCCGAGAATGGGAAAGGCCTTTCGGTGAATCGCCTACAACTTTCGGCGAGTATGGCTTAGCCCGCCGAAAGTTACAGTGCAATTAATGTTTAGGGGCGCAGACAAAGGGCTATCAAGGAGAACTTTCGACAAGTCGCTGAGTGCACTCGACGAACTCAGGCTTCTATTAGAAAGTTACAGAACCTTTTTCAAGTTTAGCATGAAATTAAAGGCGATAAGGAGAACTTCGGCGAACAATCGAGTGGTTTGGCGAGCTCGACCCAGCTCACCAAATGACCCAACGTGCCTACTTTTAACCCAACTTCCCAAATTCAATCCCGCAGCCCTCCAAGAACAAAATAAAAACATGCACTTCCACAATTAAACTAAGACCTATTACATTCAAGAGGTTTTTTTGGAGGGTTAGAGCGTGAAGATTGGCACGAACATATACGAAGCTTTGTGGAAGAGTGTACCCCTTTATCGTTCAAGAATCTCTCTCAAGAATCCATACGGCTTCGCTTATTTACATTATCATTAACTGGGGGAGCTACTAAATGGTTGGTCGAGCCTCCAAACAACTTTATCAAATCATGAGAGGAGCTAGTTATTGATTTTCACGAAAGATTCTTTCCTCCATCAAGAATAATGAAAGTGAGAGACGACTTTCAGAATTTCAAGCAAAAGAAGGGTGAACCAATTCCCGAATCATGGACTGCCAGGTGAATTGTTGCTCCAATACTTTTACCGTAGTCTAGACTCGATTAATAAAGGAATAACTAACCAATTGGTGCAAGGAGGAATAATGTTACAATCATATGAAGTAGCCTCATTCCTCCTAGATGGCTTGAATAGAGTAAATCAAACATGGTACACAAAAGATGACCAAGTTTCCCTCAGATTAACGCAAAAACAACTCGATAAAGAAAGGGAGAGGGATGAAAACATCAAAAATATTTTGTCTCAATTGGATGTGATACAAGAGGACATGAAGGAGACGTATGGAGTATTTTGAGTTGAGGAGGGTTCTTCTTCTGGTTACTTAAGACCAGGGGAGAACCAAGGTTGGAACTTTACAAGATATGAAGAGGGTTTCCACCCACGCTGTCAATAGCGGGGAAGAAATCAAGGTTGGAACCATTATAGAAATGAAGAACCAACGAGATATTGCCTTGATTGGGCAAAACAAGATGACCATGAGGAAGACCATACTCAATTGAGTGAAAACCCGACTTTAAAAGGGAGTGCAAGTAGTCCTCGGGTAAATGATCTATTTTCACGCATACTTGATAAAGTTGAGGGCTCTGATGATATGCTAAAAGGGTTGATAGATGACTTGTCATCATTAGAAAGTAAAGTGAATTCTCATGTTGATGCCATCAAAATGCTAGAAGGTCAATTGGGTCTATTATCAGCTTAATTAACATCCAGGACACTGATGAAAGATAATGAAAGATGGTTGGCTATAGTTAACCGGAGTGGAAAGATGGCAAAAGGAAATGTGATGGAGGTTGACGACCCTCGAATGCAGGAAGAGAGCCAAGGTATAGAGGAACGAGAATTTCCTATTCCACAAAACCTTGCCAAAGAAAATAAGAGGATACAGAGAAACATGTTCAAGTTCCAAAAGTCACGCACCCTTTACCCAAAATAACTCCACCATTTCCTCAACGTTTGAAAAAGAAGAATGAAGATGAGAAGTTCAAAATTTTTTTGTCAGTATTCAAGAACTTATCAATTAATCTTCCTCTGGTGGAAGGATTGTTCGAAATGCCGGGATACCCCAAATTCATGAAAGAGATAGTTACAAAGAAAATGAGCTTGGACTATGAAACTATTTAGGTGTCCCATAGTTGCAGTGCAATTGTGACAAATGAGTCAATCACTAAGAGAGAAGACTCTGGGGCATTCACAATCCGTGCACAATTGGCATGCTCAAATTTGCTAAAGCTTTGGGTGATTTAGGAGCAAGCATTAACTTGATGCCGTATGCAATATACAAGCAACTTGGTTTGGGTGAACCAAAGGCAACCACAATGAGACTCCTTATAGCTAATCGATCAATCTAGCACCCATGGGGATACTTTATGAAATATTGGTAAAAGTAGATCGATTCATCTTTCCGACTGATTTTGTGATTCTAGATTGTGAGATCGATGCTGAAATCCTCATTATTTTGGGAAGGCAATTCTTATCCACCGAGAGAGCATTGGTGGATGTCGAATGCGGGAAATTGACGTTCCGTGTGAATGATGATGAGGTGACCTTCAATATCCGTAAATCCATAAAGCAACCAGGTAGTATCCATGTGATGTCTACTATGGATGTTATAGATGAGGCAGTGGCAAGTGTGAGCCATTTAATGCGCAAGAATGAACCCCTTGAATCTGTACTTGCCAATTATGATGAATTAGACGTTCAAGGATATGTGGAAGTGGTAGCTACCTTATCAGGGTTAGGAGTATATTCAAGGAATCCAATAAAGTTGGATATCGACCTGAAGAATAGAGAAAGTCATCAAAGACATCAACAGAAGAACCACCAAATCTGGAGTCAGAAACCCTACCCTCTCATCTAGAATACGCCTTCTTAGGAGCCACTAATACTTTACCAGTGATTATGGCAGCCGATGTGATTGAAGGGCAGGTGAAATTGCTTATTGAGGTACTGCAGAAGCATATAAAAGTTATTGGATAGACAATAGCCGATATAGTAGAAATTCCTCCTGGCATCTGTACTCACAAGATTCGGCTCGACAGTGAATGTAAACCTAGTGTGAAGCATCAATGGAGATTAAATCTTCCAATGCAAGAGGTGGTGAAAAAGGAGATCATCAAGTGGCTAGATGCGGGAGTAATCTACCCTATTGCAGATAGTAAGTGGGTAAGTCCGATGCAATGTGTACCGAAAAAGGGAAATATAACCGTAGTCCCAAATGCAAAAGGAGAACTTGTGCCGACCAGACCAATGACTCGGTGGAGAGTATGCATGGACTATCGAAAGCTTAACTAATGAACCGAGAAGGACCATTTTCCAATGTCTTTTATGGACCAGATACTTGACCGGTTATCAGAAAGAGGGTGGTAATGTTTTTTTGATGGGAACTCCGGTTACAATCAAATCTCTATTGTGCCGGAAGACCAAGAGAAAACAAATTTTACTTTCCCTTATGGAACATTTGCATTCAAAAGGATGCCATTCGGGCTATGTAATGCCCGAGCAACATTTCGGTGTTGCATGTTGTCTATTTTTGCAGATATGGTCGAAGACTCTATGGAGTTATTCATGGATGACTTCTCAGTCGTAAGGGATACGTTTTAAGAATGTTTGACACACTTAGGGCAGGTATTCCAAAGATACGTGGAAACGAATCTGGTTCTAAATTGGGAGAAATGTCACTTTATGGTGAAAGAAGGTATCGTTCTTGAGCACAAGGTGTCACAAAGGGGCTGGAAGTTGACAAGGCGAAAATTGAAGTCATTGAGAAATTAACCCCGTTGATTTCAGTGATGGGTGTTCGTAACTTCTTGGGGCATGCAGGGTTCTACCGAATGTTCATTAAAGACTTCTCAAAGATTGCACACCCATTATGTAAACTCTTAGAGAAGGAAGTGAAATTCTATTTAATGATGCTTGTATGGCTGCATGTCAGTGTTTGAAAGAGAAACTAGTATCCACCCCGATTATCATCAGCCCTAATTAGTCTGAATCTTTTGAATTAATGTGTGACGCTAGCGGTATGGCATTGGGGGTCGTGTTGGGGAAAAAGGTTAACAAAATATTTCACCCAATTTATTATCCAAGCAAGACTCTAAATAGTACCCAGCAAAGTTATACGGTCATTGAACAAGAGTTGCTTGCACTAGTCTATGCATTTTAAAAGTTTCGGGTATAGTTGCTAGGCACCAAAGTAATTGTACATACTGATCATACTGCACTCTGTTACTTGATGGCAAAGAAAGATGCAAAACCAAGATTGATAAGGTGGGTGCTACTATTACAAGAATTCGATGTTGAGGTAAAAGATAGAAAATGATGATAAAATCAAGTGGCTAATCACTTATCAAGGTTGGAAGTAAGTGCAAATGTTGAGCATGAGGTCAACATAGACGACTACTTCCCCGATGAACATGTGTTTGCAATATCTCTCAAACATACTCAATGGTATGCAGCTTTTGCAAATTACATTGTGTGTGGGCTGATGTCGAATGAGTTGACCTTTTACCAACAGAAGAGGTTCATGTTCGATGTTAAAAAGTACTTTTGGGATGAACCATACTTGTTTCGAGAGTGTGCTGACCATGTCATTAGATGGTGTGTTCCGGAAGAAGAAGCAATAGAAATTCTTTATTCTTGTCATACATCTCTAGTGGGAGGTCACCATGTTGGTATTCGCACTGCCGCTAAAGTTCTCCAGAGTGGATATTACTGGCCTTTCCTCTACAAGGATGCACATGAGTTTGCAAAGAAATGCTCTCATTTTTAGCAGCAAGGTGGAGTGTCTAGAAGACATGAATTACATCTCACTCCTATTTTAGAGGTCGAGCTATTCGATGTATGAGTCAATAATTAGCGATTGGGGGTCCCGCTTTTGCAATAGGTTGTTTTCAATGCCACTGATCAAATATGGGGTGAAACACAAAGTAGCAACTCCATATCATCCCCAAACAAGTGGCGAAGTCAAAGTGTCAAATTAAGAAATCAAAATCATTTTGGCAAAGACAGTCAATATCAACAGAACTAACTGGTCTAGGAAACTTGATGATGCACTATGGGCATATCAGATCGCTTACAAAACACCTATTGGTATGTCTCCATATCAGTTGGTTTATGGTAAGGTTTTCCATTTGCCCGTCGAGTTAGAACACAAAGCATTGTGGGCATTAGAAGCTTTAAATTTGGACTGGTCAAAAACTTCAAGAGAGAGGGTAGAGCAGTTGAACAAACTGGATGAATTTAGACTCGGATCGTATGAAAGTTCAGCCATCTACAAAGAGAAAATGAAAAAATGGTATGATGCTCGGATATTCAAGCGGGACTTCAAGGTAGGAGATTGGGTTTTGTTATACAACTCTCGACTTAGACTATTTCCCAGAAAGCTCAAATACAAATGGTCTGGACCTTTTAAAGTAACGCGAGTGTTCACCAATGGTGCCATAGAAGTTGAAAATCAGGAAGGACATCCATTTAAAGTAAACGGTCAACGTCTGGAATTATATTTTGGGGATTGTCAATAGAATTCTTTGGTTGATGTGGTGTCTTTGGAAGACGCCTGAAGGCGATGCTCTGGTGTGTTGTTTGTACAGGTTAAAGTATGAGAAATGTTCAAAAATGTGAAGGATAAAAAGCAATAGATCCAGTCGGCGAGTCGGCGAGTCGCCGAAGGGGTCGGCGAATCAGACCTTGTCCGCGTTTGACTCAAGACATCGTCAACATTGGAGTCTGCAAAAGTCGGCAAGCTATGGAAATTATTGGCGAGTCGCTGACCATGTTGGCGATCACGATGGAAATTGCCGTTTGGACCGCCCTAAACCAGGGGTCCTCTAAATTGATGAGGACTTATGTGCATGTTCAAAGAAGCTGGTAGTATATATATATATTTTAAAAGGTGTGGCTGCTGGGATGTACTGAAATGAGAGAAGATGGAATCGAGCAAATAAAGTTGTGTGCTAATTAAACATTGGAGAACCAAGGTAAAATAAAAAATCATAAAACAATATATTTCATACCCTAGCTGAGCCTACGTTACAAGCCTATAAAGTCCTTCAGTGATCCTATTCCAGTTGTTTGAAAGATAGAGTGTAGAAAACAAGGGCAAGCCTATGGTCTATTGTTCTTAGTTTTAGAAGTTCCTTGTGAATGTGAGAATCGTATTTTGTCCCAAGCATCATGTGTGAAGGACTTCTTTGATGTGAGAACACATTGTCTACATTTGATAGTTAAACTGTGTTGGCTGACAATGTACACAAGCATAAGTATGGTTGATTTTGAGTAATGGGATGTCATAAATTGATCCTTGCATTTTAGATAGATGGTTTTGGATACAAATTGTGGTTAACGTGGCTGATGCATACTCGTATTGTGTTTTGGCGGTTTGAACATCAAATTTCTTGTTTTCTCATCACTTGAGGACAGGCAATGGCTCTAAGTTAAGGGTATTGATGTGCTGTGAAATCTTGGGACATTTGATACTCAAAACTAAAGATTAATGCTAGAAGCGGGTGTATGTTTGTAATATTTGATGTGTTTGTTGAATATCTAGACAGGTTTGCACGTGCGTGGAAAAGTTGTGGAAGAAAAATAAACTTAAAATGATTGTGCTGAAGGAAACACCACGGAGCCCAGTACAGGCCGTGGTCATCTTGACGGGCTTTCATAATGCTCGTGGTGCTGGAGCAGTGAACCGTTAAATTGTGGTGTTGATAACCAAACTCCAAGTGAAGACAACGAAGCCCTAGACGGTCTGTGGTCCTCTTGACGAGCCGTGACGCTGCTCGTGGAGATGAGCCAGTGAGAAGAACTCGAGTAGTTGCAATGTTGTTTGGCTAGGTTAAGACCACAAATACTTAAACGGACCGTGGTCATCATCACGGTCCGTGATGAAGCCCGTGAAGGATTTCTAGTGAACAGAATTTGGAGAACCAACTTTGTGAGATCTCTAAGTAAGGATCACGGAAGGCTTCGCGGACTGTGAAGTCTTTGACCGGTTGTTTTATTGTTCGTGACAAGCTGCGACAATTCAGTCCTACTTCGATTAGGACTCTTTTTAGACAAACTATTTGAATTAATTTGTTTTAATTTTTGTTTTATCTCGTGATATCTTGAACGAGCTACTGGTTTCAAAAATATTCTAACTTTTGTTTTTGATCGATTAACATTGAATCGATAATTAAAGTTTGCTTTGGTTTTTGAATATCGTTTGTTCGCTGAATCTGAAAATCGTTGTAAGTGATTTCCTTTAATGAAATCACTACTTATCGTTGCTTGTTTTATTGAAAACATGAGTAGATAAATACCACAACTAGGGTTATGGGAACTATGACTGAAATCTACATGTGAAATCGGTAAATGAGCAGAATGTGCTAAAAATTTGCAATATACAATTCAACTTTTGTTATTCATTTATTATGATGAGTACGTTAGAATGTGCTTGTATGTGTCGATTGTTCAAGAGAAAATCTATAGTTAGGAAAAAGTTGAGTTGGAATGTTGAATTAGAAGGAAAGTTTGAGTTTGAGAGAAGAGAACATTAATACTAAACTCTGCAAGGGAAAAATCGAATAATACTCTATGATCGAGAGGATTTGAGTGGAAAGTTATCTAACAAGACCGAGAAGTGTTAGATGCACCTAACTAGCCTGTAATTTCCAAAGAATGAATTAACTAAAACTAGTTTATAAATAAACACTAGAGGTAATGTCATAGGAAACACAACTGTGGCTTATTTTATTTATCAATACAACTATAAGATCAAGACTCTATTAACTGTTCTAATCTAGTTATCTCAACAATAATTGTTACTAAACCTTACAACTAAACCCATTATACATTTTGCAATAATCTTTGTTACGAAATAATAACAACATTTGAATAAACGTGACAAAGAAATTCTTTCCTTAAAGAAATTCTCTGTGGGACCAACTTCAACTCATGTTGAGTTCTATAAATTGACTTCGACAATGTATACTTCTTAATTGAAGTGTAAGTTTGGACGTTTCACCAATCACCTATCTTATGGCAATTATTGCCATAACTATAACAACCATCCATACCAGTCCCTCCTACACTTAGCACAAGTAAACAATGAAGATCCACCACCATTCCCTCCTTGAGGCCTTGGGTTAGACACTTAATCTTTGTTGAACTTAGGAGGAGCATTGGAGGAACCTTTCCCTGAAAACCTTTCTCGTAAAATAGAACGACCATGTCCATCGGACCTTGATTGTGAGAAACTACCATTGCCGGTCCTTGCCTTCTTTCTCTCCCAAGATATTTCCCTAAGTTTCCCCTCTTTTACTTGTTTAGCATGAACCATAGACAAGAAATGTACATATCATTGATTAGCGTGGTGATACGACATTCCTTAACAACCATTTTGGATACACCTGAAACAAACTTACTCATTCTCGCCCTAGGGCCGGCAATCATAATAGGAGCATAATTAGACAATTGTGTGAAGTTCAAAGCATAATCCTTCACACTCATGTTTCTTTGACGAAGTTTGATGAATTCAAGAGCCTTTGCCTCTTTCATCTCAAAGGGAAAGAACCTATCGACAAAAGCAATTTTGAACTTTTCCAAATCAAGAGGACACACACCTTCCGCCCACTCTTCTTTCCATTAGTTGATACATATTTGAACAACACCCTTAAGTTGATAAGAGGCCAATTTTGTCTTTTCAACCGGTGTCATTCCCATGATCATCAACACCTTCTACACTTCATCAATGAACTCTTGAGGATATTCCTCAACCTTAGAACCATGAAACTCCAGAGGATTCATTCTAGTGAAATCCCTCACTTTAGATACCGCCGTACCCACATTTGGGTTCACTGGGACCACAACCTCCCTATTGGCTTGAGTCATCATGGCTTGATCCAACACTTAAAAAACAGCCCTAAACTCCCCATTAGTCACTTTCTAGGCCAAAAGATCGATTGGAACTTGAGGAGCTTTTGGTTCCACGTTCTCATTCCACCTAACGTATGGTCTTTGAGGGTCCATTTCACAAAAAAACAATCGGATAGGGATTAGGAGAGAGACATTATAGAGTTAAAATCTATCGCACGACTTAGAGTAATGAAAGAAGTGGAGTTTCCTGAACATCTTTTATTCATAAATGTGGTGCACTTCACACTTATGAACAAGACTCTATTTGACGTGGCTTAAGAAACTTCCTATGACCTTTCTAAACTTTGTGTTATAAATACAAAGTTTTTCATGACCCAATGTAGACCCTTGATGTAACATGGCATATAGGACCACGAGAGGCCATACACAAGCCACATAGAATACATAAACAAGATAATAGAAATTCAAGGGAATTTAAAAGACAATTTGTATCATAAAAGAGTTATAAAAATGAAGCGGAAGTATATATAATATCAATAACCATCAATTACATCAAGAGTGATCATGATGTAACTCTGGCATGACGTACAATTTCTTAACAGTAAAGACTGAAAGCGATAAAAGGTTCAATACTGAAAACATGAGGACTCATCACTATTAAGTATGATCAAGGTGACTCCTAGCCATGGGGATACGAACCAAGAGCGTCAGACCCTACATTTGTATAAGAATATAGGGAAGAGTTTGCGTTAGTACAAAGATGTACCAAGCATGTTAGCAATGTATAAAGCCAAAAATTCATGCTAAAAAGAAACTTTCATGTTATGCAAAGACCAAATTAAATCCATAAGAAAGAGGTTAGAAAACATCATAATAGTCATGGTCAAATGCAAGCAACAATCATTTTTGAACACTTGTATGATACTTCTTGAAGTAACCTTTGTTCATCATTATTGTGGGAAGTGTCCTTAACCGACATGTAAGACCAAGTGAGCTATAACATAGAATCAGGTGTCTGCCCCACACTGTAAAAGGGTGTCCTTATTTTCCAAGGCAAGAACCTTAATTTCTAGCTTACGTGGATCCACTACCTAATGTCTTTGGTGGCACATAGGTATGGGATAACGAGATTGCTACTAGAAACCCAACCTTAAGATACGGGAGAGCTTCAATATCAATATCGTCTGGGTACTAAGTGATTTAACGTTTCAGACACACCTCATCCAATTCTAGGTGTCAACGATCTTATATCAGTATAAAACCTAACTAAATGAGTTGGGGTCAAATCCCACAGGGAGGAGTACATGTTTTTAAATTGGAATAAGAATTGCAAACGTTCTATAATCAGCCATAGGAATAGAAATTATCGACAAATACATTAATCAAATTAAAGGGGTGGCACGACTGTCAGATAGGGGTTTGGTTTTAATTATCAACTACAAGCAGTCTCAAAAACATTGAAATAACAATAGGGAGAAGTCTTCTCGAGATGTGATCGATTATACGGAAATATAGATATATGGGTAATTGAAACTACTAGTAAATAACTAATAATGAGTGAGTAGGATAGACTATAAGGGAGATAGCTTTGTTTCAAACAAGTACCCCGAATCAGGTGATTTCTTTCGAACATCAACAAGCATGACAATGAAGAACTACTCACACCTTAATTCATCCACTCCTTCGAGCTAGATGGGTATGAATGGGTTTAGGATTCACTTTCTTGAGCTAAACCTAACTTAACCCAATACTCACATATAATTAATCAATAATCTTAGTTCTAAAACATCTCTATTGAGCAAGCGAAGAACACAAAGATAGAACTGCATTTCCAACTACAATTTATAAATAAAACCACAATTATTGATTAAACTCACTTTAAAATAGTCTTTAAACTAGTAATTAACAAAACCCATAAACTAATTCAACCCATAACCACATGATCATACCCCAGGAATTGGGGTTTTAGCCAAACATCATAAAAGGGTAAAAATGATTACCGAATCGATTATCCATCAACTGGGTAAGAGAGAGTTAGTCTTTACAATGTTCAATTTGTAGAATATTCGAAACCCACTTCCAAAATGTCCAAATTGAATCTCTAAAATTCATCAAAAGCTATGAAAAACTCAAGAGAAAACTATTCTGAACTAATTCAATCTTTTCCCACACAAAGTTCTCTCCAAATAAAATGTTCAAAATGTAATTTATAGTCACCAAAAATAAGCCACGAAGGACCATTTGGCGAAGTAAGTCGGGCTCACCGAACCACTCGGCGAGCCGTCCTTTGACCTCTTCCATAGCCTATTTGGTTTGGCATTCAGCATCCTTGAGTTCTGTAAATTTAAGCGATCTATCTTTGATTCACGGAACTGAATGACAATTTTCCGACTGCTCCGTTTCATCACCGACTTGGATTCTACCTTCAGGGTTTGGCACAATGGAACTTTAGGTGGTCAGATTAACAACTGGGCGACACACCAAGTGGTATTGGCGATCCTCAGGCTCGCCATTCTTCATTCCTTCGGCTTGTTTTGTTCCGTTTTTCCTATTAGTGTCCTTGCTTTGTTCCTCGATCCATATACCTGAAAATCAAGACTTTAGCATCAGTTTATGGTACATATTATGCATTTGAGGACACTTAATCTATTTAAACAAAGCCCTAAATGAGTTCAAATCTCAGACTCATCAACACCCCCAACTTAAACTTTTGTTTGTCCTCAAGTAAAACGGAAGATCAGCAGTTCAAAAAGGATGTCTCCAATAGTGTTGCATAAGATTCAACATGAATGCTCACAACAAGGCATAACTTACTCATGCGCTGATCAATTGTGCACTA